TGACCAGAGAGATGCCCGCAACTGACCCCCTCCTCGAAACCAACAGCTAGTTATGGGAACATCTTCCCGGTTTGACCAAGTCCTGACAATTACCTGATTTTATGGACCCACATATCTAGGCGTGAAATCATGAACCAATGGCCATGCGCCAGGGGCATTATATAAACCCTCACACCTGTGAGGACTAGGTATTGAATATTAACTATTCATCATCAATACCTTAATAATTTTCTTGTATCTCCTTGTTCCCACTCTTACTTGATCGTAGAAGTGCCTTGCAGGTACAACCTCATTTTTCTCCTCGACATCACAGCCCGACTACAGATTATCTTCCGGCCACTTCACAAGTTTTGATGAACCGGTAAGATCAGAGTCAATGGGTTAAAAATTATACCCATCTGTTGGGCTAAAATACCAATCATTTCATGATTGCTATCATCTATTTATTGTCAAAATGCTATTGCAGAATTCGTTGTGAGTGTAGGTAATTGGGCAGTGAATCCTGGGGGTGGGACGTTTCGACCCATGCTATTATTTCCTGATCTTGATCCTTGTAGTAGTGAAAATGTAGACACATTTGGGTCAGGGAATGTTGATGTACTATTGTTTAGGCTTGCCATCATTATTGTTGGTATGTCATAGATTTGTTCGTGGACATTCATTGGCATTATGAATCCATGCGCAAAATGCCTGAAATTGCTCGTCCCTGGTGGTCTTATGGTCACTAGGGAATCCTGTGTATGCACTGGTGATAAAACTGGACCTCTAAAAACATTTGACAATATTCCTGTCATATTTTCTTAAACAGGTACCAATTTGGTTGCATATAATGCAACCATAGTTTTCCCTATCAAAGGGGGTGGTTGTTCTACATTTTTATTGGGTGGGTTAACCGTCTTCCTAGTGTATTTCCTTTTTGGTATTGGTTCGTTAATTTTGGATAATTCTCCACTCCTTAGTCTCATAGAACAATGTTAAACAAATAGACTGAAACAAAAGAAAATACAACACAAAACAACATTTGTGACACAAACTTAGACACTGGTCCCACTAGGTGTGCCAATTTGTTTACCCTGCAATTTGGTAAACAACCGCTAGTATTCCAAAACAAAGATAATTTTGATTACTCACAGGATCGACTAGATTGATCCTAGAACATGTGTCTAGTTTTGGTTTTCTCATGTTTCTGGATATTTAATTTGTTTTTCGAAAAGAAGATTACGATGAAAGTAAAGGTAAAACAAAGGCTTTAAGATAAGGATAAAAAAAGCTTTAAGATAAATACTGAAATGTAAATAAACTTCGACTTAAACTTTAAATGAAACATAAAAAACTTTGTTAGAAAATAAATAACTTTGAATGAAAAACTGGTGTTTCATACGTACATTCTCAACAACTCACTTCTTTTAACACTTGATATTTTGAGTTTATTTGAGTGATTTGTACAAAAGTGAACATATTAAATCCTAACACAGAGGTTCTAATTTATACTAATTCAATCATAACGGTCTTTCTCTACAAGAGTGTCACGTTCGATGTTTGCATGTTTTTCGAATCTTCAGGCTTCCATGTGTCCTTTCGGATAAGATCGAATTATTTGAATTCAAAATCTTCTTTCTATCGATGCTCTAAACCAACAATCGTGATTTTGTCGAAATAATCAAACTCTAAACTTCAAAAATCTTAATTCCCATGTATTTCACGAAATAAGACTTTCACTTCTATTTAACAAGATTTGACCATCCATTGGCCTGTTAATCGAAATCTCTATGAAATATTCTCATATTTCTTTTAGAGCTAGTTTTCTTTCGACATTCTTCATTTCTCTTCAACATTTCAGTTCGTCGAAATTCTCAGCTAACAATAAGGTAATCACCATGGAACGCAAATTCAGTGAAGCTAACCAACTCCCCCTGAATCTGTTAATACCCAAAATCTTATTTATGCTTGTTCAGAGTCTCCCCCTGAGCCCATGACTCGCAAGAGGAATTTTTCAGAATACAAAGTAACATAGAGAAGGAATACTTCTCCATTGACGTCTCATCAGAGTCAGACTAGAAATGCTTGGTCTTTATCTCAGAACCTAACTTACTATCAGAACACTATAAAGTAACAGAACCTGTTTAGTCACTATCTTGATGACTTGCATCAAAAATCAAAACTAATTTACTGGTTCTTCCAGAAGCTAGAATTGTGCCACCATAAGGTGTACAACAGCATGTCATCAGAAGGTTCGGCATCTGAAACATTTCCTAACAAACCATGCCTTTTGAACATGTCTTCTGAACACGTCTCAGACTATGTCTTCTAAAAATTAGAACATGTCTTTAACCATGTCTTATAATATGTCTGAGACCATGTCTTAGACCATGTCCTTAGAACATGTCTTAGACCATGTCTTAGACCATGTCTTCTGAACATGTCTTAGAACATGTCTTTAGACCATGTCTTAGAATATGTCTTAGATCATGTATTTATAACATGTCTTTTGACCATGTCTTCTGAAGGTTCACAACCTTTGAACAATGCCTGGTTCATAAAAGACTTAATATACTTCCAGAAAGTTAACAACTTCTGAAGTATCATATTCTGGTATAACATAACTTGGTTACAAAACTTTCAGACAATTTACAACTTCTGAACAGTGTCGTGGTAATAAAGCAAATGTTGCCAAAGCACATGTTGACATTATTTCAGATAGTCTACAACTTCTGAAACGAATGCTTTATAACATATCAAGTTTGTTAAGACGGACAATGAGGCGATCTTTAGTATAAAACAAACTCTTAAAATATGTTAAAGCTCGCTATGTTAGCAAACTATCAACCCTAGTTGAGAAAATTTGCTTCCTTTTGCTTGTAACGCATTAAAATGTCATTGAAGTCGCCCATTAACTTCCATGATTCAACAAAATGAGTTATCAAGTCTCAAAGATAGATCTATGTGCCTTCTCTAACTGAAGATGGAGATGAAGATGTGAGACAGACATAAACTCCAAAAATACTTAAGACATATTACCCTGAATCACTTTAAAAAATAATATATTGAGATATACTCTCGATTTTCTAAAAAGAATATAATCCAATTAAAAATCTAATTAACTTTATTAACAATTAATTAAGATTTTCAATTGATAAATAATCATAATATTTAAATAAAAATATGAGTTCACATTGGGTAGTTTTTTTAATGTACATGCAACAATTTGACACTCAAAAAATATTTAATATACATAATTATTTTATTTATTATTTAAAAATTGTTTTTCTAAAAATTTAAAAAACTATTTATTTATAACCTAATAATACCAATAGTGGTGGAGGCCGACAGAAACCGCTGCCATCAACCAGTGTACACCATGAATGAATATAAATTTATCATTACTTTACATTAATATTGAAATATAATAATTAAACAAAAATTTATTAAAATATTTAACTTGAATTACCAACCATTCACATTATAAATAGGACAAGGCAAGTAATATTCATTCACAAGTTACACCAATCTCACAGCTTCACAAAGATGGCAAGAAATTCACATACCTTGTCACTTTTCCTTCTCTTCCTCACTCTTGTTGTAACCTCCCATGCAGGTGGCATAGCCATCTACTGGGGCCAACACAGTGAAGAGGGCACATTATATGAAGCATGTGCCACTAGAAGATACACCCACATAAACATTGCCTTCCTCGAAAGGTTCGGCAATGGCCGAATTCCGAAACTGAATCTCGCAGGTCACTGCAACCCTTCAACCAACTCATGCACCAGAATAGGTGATCACATCAGGTATTGCCAGAGCAGAGGTATCACAGTGTTACTTTCTATCGGTGGTGGCATCGGACGATACTCTTTGGCTTCAAGAGAGGATGCTGGAGACTTCTCAAAATATTTATGGAACACTTTCTTGGGTGGCACGTCATTTTCAAGACCATTTGGTGATGCTGTGTTGGATGGTATAGATTTTGATATTGAACTTGGCTCAGCACAAAACTGGCAATACCTTGCACAACATCTCAAGGATTATCATGGTGTGTACCTAAGTGCTGCTCCTCAATGTCCATTTCCTGATAGATTCTTGGGTAGGGCCCTTGAAACAGGACTTTTTGACTTTGTTTGGGTTCAGTTCTATAATAACCCTGCATGTGAATATTTTAATGATAGAAAAAATAACCTTGAGAGATCATGGAAACAATGGACAACTGCTATTCAATTTGGAGAGGTATTTTTGGGATTGCCGGCCGCTGAGGGCGCAGCTGGAAACGGTTTTATCCCGGCCGACGTGTTGACGTCTGAAATACTACAAGGGATTCAGTATACATCAAAGTATGGAGGTGTTATGCTTTGGTCAAGATACTTTGATGAGAGGACTGGTTACAGTGCATCCATTATAGATAGTGTGTGAAGAGTTCATAATTGAAATAAAGAAAAGCAATAACATTACACTTTGGCAACTAGTAAGAAGTGATGTTTTGTAATATTTGTGTGTCTGCGTGGATCTTGCACTCTTGTGTGACTTTAAAAATTGTTTAGTTTTTGTCTCTTCATATAATAAAGAAGTTTGAAAGAATTCTTTTATTATTCTGCAGTTTCGATAATGCGAACGGTTATGTACTTGACGCAAGCTCAAGCTTGATGCTCTCTTTTGAATTCTGAACCAGTAGTCTTTAGAAAATCATAATGTGACATAAACTGAGTACAAGAGACTTTAGAAAATCGCATGATAATACAGATTCAAGGTGCAATAGTAACAATACTGAAGCAAGAAAAATAAATCAGTTTGATTTCTCATCAAAACTTTCTCTGAAATGAACCAACATCTGACACGTTCTATTGAACCATAAAAGAGTTTACAGAAGAAACAAAAAATGAAAACAAGGCAATAAATGAAGAAAAGATGAAACCTATGAAGCAAAAAAAATATATTGGTATCACTATCACACCAAAAAGAGAATGTGAACTTATAAAAGTATCGGAGGCTGAAATTTATTTCGTGTTGGCTTAATTTGTGTTGGATACCGTTCGGACCTGGATATTGTGAGTGGAGTGGAACCTCCAAATGGGTTGCCTTCCACTTTGTACAAGGGCTACTTCTTCTCCTTCTTTAACCAATCCATTCTTCTGCATACGGAAACAATACATGAGATCACAAAGAAACTTAAATTAAAACGGAACTTTTTGTTTGAGCAGTTGACGTTTTAATAGGTAATTGCAATGTTTAGCATTTGTTTATACCAGAAGCATGAAGTTCATAAATGTGTAAAGGTTAATGGTTAAGTATTGCATGCACAAATAAAAACCGATACAAGGTTGAATGTTTGAATGTAAATTGTATCGGCAAATAATATGAGTAGAAGTACTATATAGGTAACATCTCAAACACCAAAGATATCTTCCAAAAATTACCTGCAACAAATCCAAGGCTTTTGTGAATGTCTCTTCAGAATCCTCAGAGAATTGCATGTAAATAGGACAGACTCCTTGATACAAAGCCAACCTTTGTTGTACTCTTTTCCTGCATGGCCATAAAAGTTCGGTAAACCAGAGTTGTCATAGTTATAAGTTATAGTAAGTGGAGATTAACAACGTAAAATAAAGGGAAAAACTAACTCACTCATCAGTAAAAGCAAATATGGTGCCAGAAGGTCGATAATGGCTCAATAGAATAGCCATGAAGCCTGATCTAGTGAAGACAACAGTCGATGTTCCAAGAGTATTAGACATCATGGTTGCATGGTATGCAAACATCTCGCTCATATGGTTCTACACAACCAAAATAAATAAACCACACATTTCAGTGTCAACAGCAATATTTTATTCATTCATTGGCCAACAGTAAAATGAGGGAAGACGAAAAAGTCAGCATAACAAAAAAGGCACATTGAGCTTGAAGTTTAAACCTTGAACACTTGACCAATATTAGGTGGGATTTGCCCACTTGTTAAAGAGGCTTCTGTCCGTAATGCTACCGTGTGCATTACTTTCGCAGCTTTTATTGGAAACCTGCAATATAATAAATCCCATATTATTGTCGCTTTCGGTAAACACTCTTGATTTATATTCGTCATCTAAGTCAGTGAGATGCTACTGCAACAACAATTCAATTGTGATATTTAAGGGAACAACTATTCAACATTGATATTTATATTCCTTTCTAAGAACTCAAATTGGAGAAATATCGGCATGTCAAGGTAATTGGACACTTTGAGACGTGGAGTTATTTACTTACTTTCCGTGAGCAGTTTCTCCAGAAAGCATTATTCCATCGGAACCTTCTCGAACAGCAATGGCGATATCAGATACCTCTGCTCTGGTTGGTGTCGGGTGAACAATCATGCTTTCGAGCATATTTGTTGCCACAATAACAGCTTTTCCCATGCTACGGCATATCCTAATTATCTCTTCCTATATTAGCAAACATTATTTAAGTTAAGGCATGCACAAACTAATGTCCAGTTATGGAAGAAACACTCAATGATTATGTTTACCATTAATTAATCTCAAATTTGTTTAAAAACAACAATACCTGCAAAAGCGGAACCTCCTCAATAGGGAGTTCTGCACCAAGATCTCCTCTTGCAACCATAGCCTAAACAAGACGGAAAAAGAAGACAGGTCAGCATCCACAGTCAAACTTAACATATTCTCCAGAATCAGGCCAGTTAGGCAACAATCTTGATGAAATAATGCAGGATTAGATTATCACCCCATCAGAAGCGGTAATAATTGAATGCAAGTTCGGTATAGAGTCTGCACTTTCAATTTTTACAATTACATGTATATCAGCACCGCAACCTGCATTAGTTGGAAAGGGATTTATCATATTTATAAATAATCGGGAAAATTAATCTGCTGTATAAATTAGAAAATAAATTATATCTTGAATAATTACTTTTCAAATAATTCTTCAGTTCATGAACGACTCCTGCATCCTTAACAAACGAAACGGCATAGAAATCAACTTTGTTATCAACTCCAAATTTGATGTCATCCCAATCCTTCTCTGCAGCAAATAAATAGGAATATTATGTACCTGAGAAACCAACATAACCTTAACCCCCAATCAAACCAATTCTCACATACACAAGTGAGGAAAAAGAGCGAGACAATAATAAGAAATCACTATCAAGAACAGGAAAAATGACCCAAAAGCCTAACCAGTAATGGAAGGTAGTGTTGCACTCTTTCCTCTAACATTCAAATGTCTCCTTGACCCTAGTTCTCCTCCATCAATAACTTCACATTTCACAGAATCCGCTGTCTTCGACTTTACCAAGAAAGACATCATACCACCTACATCATACATCAAGAGTCAGAAATTAACAAAAGATGCCATACAATCAATGGACATAGCATGCAACAAAGACTTGATATTGAGTCTTTCTGATGTATTACTCGTGTGGTTGTCGATTCATCAATCATTTAGCATGACACGAGATTGTTAGTAATCTGAATATTTTAGTCAACTCAATTAGCAGGCATACCATCAACAAGAAGCATGTCCCCCGCTTCAACATCATTGACAAAATCATCATAGTTCACACTAACACAATCTGCAGTTCCAACACCACTCTGGATAGTAAAAGTAAACTCCTGTCCAGATTTTAACAAAATTGGTTGAGGTAAATCCCCACTCCTAACCTCAGGACCCTGAAAAACAGATTAAAACAAATTATCAGCTGACACAAAATCGAAACACTGATCACAAAAATATATCATCTTCGTTCAAACAAAGACTTACCTTGGTGTCAAGCATGATTGCAATTACATTATCTTTTGATTGTGCATTATATTCCTTAACCAAATCAATAACTTTCTTATGAGAAGCATGATCTCCATGCGACATATTCATACGCGCAACATTCATCCCAGCATCCGCCAACTTCCAAATCATTTCCTTTGTATTAGTAGAAGGACCAATAGTACAAACAATCTTAGTCTTTCTTCTAACTACTGGTTTAGACCACATTCCACCAGAAGCATCACCAGTTTGCTGCATACCAGGCAACTTCTGCAACTCCTCCTCAATCTATTCACCTCAAAACAAAATAGGTTAAACACTTTCCTCAACCGTTTACTTCCATTTCTGGTATATGATTATGAAACAAATCTTCTCACTAGTTAGTCACTACCCATCTTTTTTTTATCTTATGAAACAAGCAACAGAAGCAAATTTACAATAAGATGTAACAAAAAAAAAAAAACCTTTAAATCATCATCAGGTGAGACAGGGACAACTTCAGCTGATTCGGATTTTATAGCATTGATGTGACAGTTTCTGACACTAAGCTTGGGGGATTTGTTACCGTGTGGAGGGAAGACTTTGGATGAAAAAGTTGCGGGCTTCAACAAGATTTGACACCTGTCTTGTGTAGATCCTGAGGCGGGGCGTAAGAGAGAGGTTTGAATAGATCGAGTGACCGCAACCTGAGACATTGTTGCAGAGAGAGAGAGAGAGAGAGAGAGATGAAGATTGTTGAAGAGAATGAGAAAAGTGTATGTGAGAGAGAGGTCGATAAGAAGAAGGTGAAATTGAAGGATTGGAGATGAGCGATAAAAACGGCGGAGACAAATATGAAGAGGAACGAGAAAGGACAAAAAGTTTTCTTCGTTTGTATCGAAGGAACCAACAACGTTAATGCGAGTGTCGGATTTAAACCTTTCTTGTTCGAACACAGGTTCGATGATTACTGCGTGCGACGTCGTTTTCGGTTTGGGGTTTAGTCTTCTCTGTTTCTCTGTCCCCGTCATTAGTTTTTTTTTTTCTCTGACTTAAATATTTACTTTTTTTTTTACAATAAATATTTACTTTTGATGAATAGTACTAGTTCAATGTAGAATTTTTTTTAATAGTCCAAGGAAATATATGAAACATTTTAGGATACTTTTAAAAAATGGGATTATAAATATAACATTTTTCTTTTTAGTAAAAATTTATAAAAGTTGTTTAAATATTTTTTATTTTTAAAAAAATAAAATTTAAATACAGTTTCTCAACTTTGTGTTCTAGAAATTTTATATTCAATAGGATAAAATTAAAGATATAATTTTTTGGGTGTTATTCTTATTATTTTCATATGAAAATATAATAAATATATTTAAATTTTATTTAAAAAATGAAAATAAAAGAAACTTTATATATATATATATATATATATATATATATATATATATATATATATATATATATATATATATATATATATATATATATATATATATATATATATATATATATATATATATATATATATATATATATATATATATATATATATATATATATATATATATATATATATATATATATATATATATATATATAAAAGAAAATTATATATTTATCATATTTTCATTACAAAATAATAACAACAACACTTAGAAAATTATATTTAAGTTTTTGTCTAAAACTAAAAGAGTAATAATTATTACTCTTTTCATCTCAAAATAAGTATTATATAATATTTTTATAGATTAAAAATATATAATAAATAAAAAATAACAATTTTATTAAATTATCTTTATTAATTGTTAATAAATTCAAATTAGTATTAATGCAAATCAAAAACATTAATTTGAAAATACAATTACAAGGAAAAAATTAATAATTATATTGATAATTAAAAGTGACAAATTTTTTAAACTGATAATTTTTCTAAACATAACAATTTTTACTTTTATTTAAAATATTAGTTTTTAAACTATACTATATATATATATATATATATATATATATATATATATATATATATATATATATATATATATATATATATATATATATATATATATATATATATATATATATATATATATATATATATATATATATATATATATATATATATATATATATATATATATATATATATATATATATATATATATATATATATATATAGTATAATTTAGTATAATTAGTATGATAATATTGTAGAAGTTTTGTAAGTAAAAATAATAGAATTTTGGCCGATAATTAATCAACCGGTTTTAGTCGAAATAGTCTGAATAATTATGTGGTTTATTTGTAGTAATTTTTGGTTGATATGTTGGGTGGTATTTTTGTTAAAGAATGTGAATTTGCAGTTGATGTTATTGCCTCTATTTATGGGCAAAATATTAAGTTGTAGGCTTATGGTCAATGTTGAATTATGTTGAATTATTATTGTTGTTGTTGTTATTACGTTCATGTCGTTAATGCATACATAGCATATCATGTTGAAGTTGATGCTCGTCAAGTTGGCTTGGATTGACAAATATAAAGTTGAAAGCTTATGCCTTGTTGATGCCTCTATTTATTGGCAGATTTCTAAGTTGGGAGTTCTGCTCCATTGGTACCACATGCATGTGCATAAAAACAAGTCCCATTTCATGTTGCATCCTTAGTTATCGTGTGGATGAATTAATTATGTTAAATATTGATAAAAAGCTGTGAAGTGGTGAATTGTATGATCTAACACTAATATATTATTCATTGTATATCCGATTATATGGTTCAATATATCATCCCTTTTGTTTGAATGTTGTCCTCTGTTGGTAACGTGCAGGTAATTAAGAAGGTTAGTTGTTACCCTTGTTAGTTCGAGTCGGTGTTGTCGCTCTGATACATAGCACTCGGGGGGGGGGGTGAACGCATGTTTTCTTTATTGTTGATTTTCATTATGTTGCTGAATTTTTAAGTTGTTTTCATTAAAGACTTGTTGTCTTAAAGTTGTTTTGAGTTGGATAAGATGTTATGGTGCTTTCAGTTGAATTTTGTGAATCTACTGCGTAGTAATGAAAGTTGTTTTATTTGTGAAGACTAAACAGGTTATTATCGGTTCATCCGAATTTTATGTGTTATGTATCTGAACTATAGGTGATTGAACATCGTTGTTCCAAGTTTAAAGTGTAGTATTCCATTTGTTTGTTGGAAATTTTATAACTCTGATTTTATTTAACTCATTGGGTAGAAATGGAATGTTACATTTGTTAGAACATAGTTTGATTTTACAACCCTTAATTAGAGTTTTGATGATAACAAAATACAAAGAATAAATAAATTGTAACATTTATATATAAGACAAATATGCTTCTTAAAATTATGTTTTGTATATACAGAAGTTTTGATGGAATCAGCATCAGCATCAGAAGATCAGTAATATGTCAGCATCAGAAGATCAGTAACATATGCTACACGCTGAAGCTACCAGATTATACGCTGAAGCTTGATGACCAGAATTTGCGCATAAACATATACACTCTGACTCTGATCAAAGATCTTTACCAAGTCATCAGCACTCGGAAGCGTCATCATCCAGTTAAAGCAGAACACTCTGAAGTGTTACTATGTATTCAAGACAGAATTAATTGCTAACGGCTTTATTCAAGACAAGATCTTCTCAAAAAGGAAAGAGCGTTATTATCATTGAAATGGCTTTATGGACAACGTATCTTTGCCTTGGCTATATAAACAAGTCTGTGTGAGAAAAGACCACGCTAATGATACGCATGCACTCATAGAATTTGCCAAGCCTTCAAACCACGTTACTCAAACGCTTTAGAAATTCAGTTTTATTCCAAGCTTAAATTGTGTATTATCACAGTTGTGATATATAGTTTTATTAGAAAACGTTAACACATCATTGTTCAACTTATTTTGTAAGAGATTTCCTTGAGATAAACCGGTTTGTGGTTATACTCAAGAAGGCTTTAACAGTTGTTAAAGTAGCTGTGTAATCCTTTGAATATAGTGGATTAAGACCTCGTTGGAGAGAGGCGAAATCACCTTGATGGGTGGACTGGAGTAGTTTGAGATCAAACGAACCAGGATAAAAATACAGTGTTGTCTAAGCTTTTGATTTAAGTTTTAACAATTCAACCCCCCCTTCTTGTGTTTTTCACATCTTCAATTGGCATCAGAGCGCCTGGTTCTGAGCTTATAACACTTAACTGTGTCAATACAAGATCCAGCGTCAGAAAAACACAATGGCAGGACCAAATCAAAACATCAGCAATGACAACAATGAAGAAAGAGACAGATTCAGTGGCAAACCTCCAGTCTTTGATGGAGAGAACTTTGACTACTAGAAAGACATAATTGAGAGTTTCTTTCTGGCCCATGATGTTGATCTGTGGGACATGGTGACTGATGGATACACGCACCCAGTGGATGGAAGTGGTCAGAAGATTGATAGGAAAACAATGTCTGATCAGCAAAAGCGTGAGTTCAGAAATCATCACAAGGCCAAAACAATTCTTCTCAGCGCCATCTCTTATTCAGAATATGAGAAGATATCAAACAGAGACACTGCAAAGAATATGTTTGACTCTCTGAGAATGACGCATGAAGGCAACATTCAAGTCAAAGAAACCAAAGCCCTTGCACTCATTCAGAAGTATGAGGCATTCAAGATGGAAGAGAGTGAATCAATAGAAACTATGTTTTCAAGATTTTAAATTCTTGTTGCTGGTCTAAAAGTTCTTGACAATAGATATTCTACTGTTGATCACGTTAAGAAGATCATCAGAAGCTTGCCAAAACAATGGAGGCTAATGGTCACAGCGCTTAAGCTAGCCAAGGATCTCAACAAAATCTCTCTGGAGGAACTTGTCAGCTCCCTCAGAAGTCGCGAGATAGAGCTAGAAGCAGATGAACCTCAAAAGCAAGGTAAGCCATTAGCTTTAAAATCTAACAGAAAATCTGACTCCAAAGTTTTGCAGGCTGTGGAAGAAACCTCTGATGGGTCCTCATCAGAAGAAGGTGAACTATCTCTCCTCTCCAGAAGGGTGAACCAATTGTGGAAGCAGAGGCAAAGGAAGTTCAGGAATCCCAGAAGATCAGAAAATCAGAATGAATCTTTCTCCAGATACAGAAGGTCAGAATCCTCCTCTGGACACAGAAGATCTAAAGGTTCTTCAGGAAATAGAAAGCCAAACAACAAAGACATCATATGCTATGAATGTAACGAGCAAGGGCACTACAAAAGTGATTGCCCAAAGCTTCAGAAGGAAAAGCCCAAAAAGAAGTTTGGCAAGGAAAAGAAGAAAAGTCTCATGGCTATATGGGATGATTCTAACACATCTGAAGCTGACTCAGAATCAGATGATGAAAGAGCAAACATAGCTCTCATGGCAAACATAATAGAAGACAGTGAAGCTTCTGAGTCAGAATCTGAATCAGATATAGAAGAGGTATTCCCTGACTTTACTATAAACTTTACTAAGGCTGAACTAGCTGAAAGCCTTAATGAAAATCTGGAAAGATATCAGCAGATCAGAGTCAAATTCAGAAACCTGAAAAGGAATCTTGCTTCTGACTCTGATAAGACTGAGAGTCTCAAATTGGAGAATTTTGAGTTAAAAGATAAAATTTCAAAATTAGAAAATCAGTTGCAAAACTCTCAGAAGGAAACAATCCCTAAAACTCCCAGCAATGCTGATGAGATCATCAAGGA